AACTATCTTGCTTTGCATGTAATGAGTCTATCTCATATATTAGTTTCACCTTTTAAGTGGCATTACTGAAATAAATGAACTTTTGCACGATAGTCTAATTTTTTGAGTTTCACCTGTAGAACGATATGCTAATTGCTTTGACATTAATATTATCTGCAGGTAGTAATGTATACCTTGTCTAAAATAATTTACATTCTACTACTAATGCTCATTTCCAAAAGGTAAAACCATGATTCATTTTCACCATTATAACAAGCTTATTCTTGCTGTTTCAGCTACTAAATTTTAACAGTGATTAATACATTATTTTTACAATATTTAGAAAGAGATGTCCTTTCCTGATCAATTGTGTTGTAAAACTGTCTCTTCTGTTTGGGAACAAATCATTTTATACACCTGTGGCTCTGTGCTATATACTGAAAGAGCATTTAAAAAATCTTCTAGTGGACACAAGCCATCTTTACATCCTCTGGGAATCAGCTCCTATAGTAAAAGAATTAATAAAGTTATTTTTTAAAAAGAGATTCGAATAGCCATCCTTATATAAAATAAATCTGGACAGCTAACAAATAACAAAAGACTAATTAAAAAACCAACTCAAACCACCAAGCCCTATAATGGATGTCAAACTCGTGGCTCAGGGGCCAGATGCGTCACATGCTGGCCACACCCATCCCCGGTTAGCAAAGGGGGGAAAAGTTGGAATACATCATGTGATGACAAAAGTTTGACATCTCTGCTCTATAACAATCTCAATGCAGAATCACAAATATCGGGCTCTCGTCCCCTCCTGACTCAGCTATCTGAAGTAAAATCTAAGTCTTAACCAGAAGGTGAGGAGGAAAGGGGCTTTTGTAAGTCAGGAGGAAGGCTGTACCATAAGGAAAGCTCAGCTGTGGAAGACACTTGTTTCCTAGCTCCCACTATATGGCAACATTTAAAGGAGGCAACCTGAAGGAAGCATCTACCAAACTAGTAAAACAGGCGGAAGCGCTTAAGGAAAAGCAGTTCCAAGGGTAACTTGGTCCCATGCCATATACATTTTAAAGATGACAATCGGTACCTTGAATTGCCATTGGATCTATTTTTGAGCACAACTCCCCAACTTTTTGGTAAATGGGCTCATTTCAAATTTTTAATGCATTTTACGGATGTGTTAATTGCTATGGGAGAAAAAGACAGTTGCCCTGAGCAATGAAAAAAAAAATCTAATGAGACACAAAGCCCATATGGCATCTAGGGGAAATTGACACATTGATACTAGCAGTTATGGACCTAATTTATAGGGCACATCAGTTATTGAAGGCACATTGATTATTTCTTTGAAATAATAAGTATAGGAACAGTGCTTATTGCCTCAATTTTTAACAAGGCAGAGATTAGAATAAACCAGGAGGGCAAAGATCCAGTATGCCATTTTTAGAAAGTGATATGATCCAGGGGTGAAATGCTACTGGTTTGGACTGGTTCGCCCGAACTTGTAGTAAAAAAATGCTATCAGTTCAAATGAACAGGTATTTCCGATGATCAGCAGTGATGCATGATTTATATTAGCTAGAAAGCAGGATTTCCTGCTTTCTAGCTAATCTAAATCATGTGGCAAAGCGGATCCCCCCCCCCCGCTGTTCTATTTACCTTTGCAGGCATGCTCAGTAGCAAGCTCCGCCCACCCACCTGGATATCATCACATCCATTTTTGATGCTCTGCACATGCCTGGAAGGTCCTGTGCATTTGTGGAGGTGGTGTGCGCGCTCACATTTGTGAACTGGTAGCAAAGGTAAATACTGTAGATTTCACTCCTGATGTGATCTGTTATATTGCTTGAATATTCATATAAAACGTGCAACCTAACACTTGCTAAGGGGACCCATGTAGTAGTATCGGACCAGAATTTGTACCTCTCCATTATAGATCAGTCGTATAAACCAATCCTTGGAATGCTGATAGAGTTCCAGAGTCACATCTGCTGCATATGGAGGCCACTTTGAATTGAAGACCCCCATCGCCACCAGCAACGGGAAAAGTGTAACATCATGAACAGCATAGAGGATGAGCTTCCTAAATGCAAAATGAGCATAATATCTTCATAAAACATTCAATGTATAAGTAACATTTTAATAATAATTTTATTATTGCATGTTCCATTCCATTTAGGATTAGTTTTCATGAACAGTGAAGTAATATTTTAAAACACCATCCATTTGCAAGGATTTGATTCTCAAAGCAATTTAGTGAGGTAGTTTCATTTGAACAGCATAGAAGCTCTATAAATAACATGGTTTCACACAAGCAGAAGTGGCTGGATTAAATGAAGAATGCTTCTTCCACCTAGTGGAAATATTCAAGAATCTCATGGTAGCTATTGTGAAAGACAATCATGTAATCTATATTAAAAAAATAATTCAGGCGATTTTAAAAAAATCATCCCAATTTAAAGCATGTAAAGACAAACCCAAAATATTAAAATTGCCATGATTTCTTACAAATCTTGCTTGCATTCCTTATCTAACAAAGTTTCCTTTAACTCAAAGTTAGTCACCAGTGTTTTCCAATGTTTACCCATTTTCCTTACATCTGTGTAATACAGAAGGGCCTCTATTACACATGTTTGTTCTAGCATAAAATTTCCAAACAACAACAACAAAAGACTGAATGGGAATTGTGTGGCTATGTTACGAAACCAATAATCCTTTTCTTCTTCCAAACATAGGCTGAAGGATCTAGCCTTAAATAATCCTTGTAATCAAGTGTCCCAAAATGAGTTTTTAAGAGGATAGCTATGCAGGCAGTCAAAAACAATATTAAACATGCAGGAGCTAAAACAGTGGTTCTCAACCTGTGGGTCGGGACCCCTTTGGGGGTCGAATGACCCTTTCACAGGGGTCGCCTAGGACCATTGGAAAACACATACTTTGATGGTCTTAGGAACTGAGACACCAATTTTATGGTAGGGGGTCACCACAACATTTGGAACTGTATTAAAGGGTCTTGGCATTGGGAAGGTTGAGAACCACGACCTAAAATAATAATTTAATAGCAATTGCCTAATAATTGTCCATTCCAGGTTCCTATGTAGTATAGTTCTTAACAGCATCAGACTTTCCTTTCACTACCATATACAATCCTGATTGTTTTTTAGAAGGCCAGATCCTGAAGATGAAACTCAAATACTTTGGCCACCTAATGAGAAGAAAGGACTCACTGGAGAAGAGCTAGGAAAGATTGAGGGCAAAAGAAGAGGACGACAGAATAAGGTGGCTGGATGGAGTCACTGAAGCAGTCGGCGTGAGCTTCAATGGACTCCAGATGATGGTAGAGGACCGGAAGGCCTGGACGAATGTAGTCCATGGGGTCATGATGGGTCAGACACAACTTCACAACTAACAACAAAAAAATGATTGTCCCTTCACCATCCTACTAAGCAACCCCAACTTTCTTATTTACTTTCCTAACCCATTAGTGATTAGCCAACACAGTCTCATCATTCAGGTTTTTTATATTTTTCTGAATTCCTGGAGGGGACTTTGATTACAGAATTACTCAATAGAATTAAAATAGACAAATGTCTTGCCTATTCAGATGTTTTGGACTAAGACTAGTGTTTCCCAGTGCAGAATTTAGGGATAGATAACAAACATGTAAATCCACAGCTTTATACTGTGTCTGGTCTGGTCTCTATCAATTGCATGTAAGGTCCACATGTACATATTTTGATTAGCAAGATGTGCCCAGAGGAATACTCATCTTTGAATACTTCTCAATTATGTGTTCTGTTGCAAGTGAAGACAGAGAGACTAATGTCTACAATTTACATGCCTGGTCTTAATATCAGAAGAGGGAGGCTCTATTGCCTTCATAATGTTGTCCTCTATGACATTCAGGAGAGGACCAACAGTCATCTGAAGAACCTCCCTATGGGAAAGAAAAATGTTAAATACTTTCAAAACAAGTCTTGAATTTATAGCCTCTATCAGTTCTACACAAATGGTTTAACAGGTAAGAGAGCTTAAAGTATTTCTAAAGTACTTCTTCATTTAAAGTTATTAGTATCAATCTGATGCTGCCGCACAGTCATCCCATCCTCACCTTGAATTGTTTTTTGTAATATAAAAGAATGAGTCAATAGCTCTCTGCTCAATTAGTTGCATAGAATTCTTCAAAACAGGGTAACTTGGTAGGTCATGTGCCTGAAAAGATAACATTGTGTAAATTAAGTAAAATACATGTCTAAAAATGACATATCTAAGGTTAGATCACTAGCATGTACATACACCTGCATTTTTACTTGAAGTCTGAAGATCGATAATGAATAGTAATTTTGACATAAATTTTAGGCGATAGCAAAATGGCACATTTCCTTGGCCCAAAATAAAATTATACGGTCAGGAATCCAGATATGCTGACATACTTAAATATAAATTAAACCATAGTATTCAAAAATTAGAAAAATGCTAGATAAGAACAAAACTTGAAAAGTCTACAAATTTGCGTAGAGCAGGGATATGTTGCAAGGAACTCTGGCTTTCCAATGATAAATGCCATTCATACCATGCCAAGATTCCTTGAAAAATCTTTGCTGCACAATAAAATGTGCAATGTGTGTTCTGATATTATTTACAATTGATGAAAATATTATAAAAGCCTGAGCCATTTCCTACATTCCTACAGACTTTAATACAGATCAGCTGACCTCCAAGTCTATCATTCAAAGATTTTGTCGAGAAATCAACATAAAAAGCAAACCTTAAATATAGAAAAATAGAGCTTGAATTTTAAAAGGGTTACCTTAATCTTACACAAAGACCTAACTCATATTAATTACAAATGGGAACTGCATACACATTATTTGGTCCTATATTATATTAGTAAAAAGCTGGTCCAAGTGTTCCCTTGCTGTTGTCTTGCCATCTATGTTTAATTCAGACCAGGAATTCGGGACCTGCAAATATTCAGACCAGGGATTATGGGAATTGAAGCAGATAAATGACATTAGCTGGAGAAATTCAGCATTTACAGAGAGGTACATTTAATAATAATAATAAAGTTTTACCCAAAAATAATGGAAATACATGGGATGAGGAGAGAAGAGCAACAGATGCGATCAAGCATATAGGCAAGATACAGCTGGTTAGAGAATAAACAGATTCAGTTCAGACTTGCAAAAGAATGCATTTTATGTTGTTTAAAGGAAGATGAACAATTGCCTCACTTGCTGGATTGTTTACCCGTCTTCCTACTTCTGCAATGAGGTATCTTGCATATTTGATTATGATTTCTTGAGTGTGGCTTTTCCCACAGAATTGCATACATCCCTTTAATAGTTGAAGAAAATAGGAAGTTTACCTGTTCTGCAAAAATGTTGTCAAGGAGAACAATGAAGTCTACTTTTTGCTCATTACTAATGCCCAACTTTTGTTTAATGTTTTTCAGATCTTCTAAGAGGTCTTGGTGCAAATTCAGACTAGCCCATCCATCTCTGTCAAGGAAAACAAATTGCTTCAGGTACTTCTTAATTTTTGCTTTGTAGATCAGAAAAATCAACACTGGATGTATGTTTAATGTTTTAATGCTTGCATCTCTCGAAAATAAAGGGTATAGCAATGTGAATTTCAGAGGCTGAAAGTATCATTCAGCATGTTGCAGAATCTGCAAGTATAAACCTATTTAGGTTTATACTTCACTGAGGTCTTTTTTTCCAGCTTTCTGTGTAAAAAAACACAATTGCTTTAAGATATCAGTCAGGTTCTGAACCACTCTTTCTGCATCATTTTCAAAACAGTTATAGAAGATAAATTCAAAATCAATTTTAAATAGCAAGAGCTGATTTAAGCAGACGGTTAACTAAATTTCTACTTATATTATTTCATGTTTGCAACATTTTAAGAAAATAGCAGTATCTTTAAGATCTATCCATACAACTACAGGTAGCCCTTGAATTACAAAGGCAATTGGGTGTGGAATTTCCATTGCAAAGTGATGTAAATTGTAAAGTGTGACATTGCATGACATCCTCACTTAGTGATGGCAATCCCTGCAGTCCTCATTGCCATGGTAAAGTGAAGATTGTGGGTCATCGAGCACCTCTTTGCAATTTCATGTTCGCTTGCAACAACCAAAATCAGTAGGGAAGTGGCAAGTCCCAAATATTAAGTGGCAGCCATCAGGTGGAGGAGGAGATGCAGGCTGTCAGGAGACTTGGGGGTAGCTGCTACTTGTATATAGGCTACAATCACTATATGGGCATCATCAAGAATGGCAGGACTGAAACTTACATTATAATTTTTTCCTTTTTAGTACAACAGGATCAGTAATTGTCACTTTTCTTAAGCATAGATTTTCAATGTAGATTATGGCCCTCATAACAAAATGGCCATGGACGTCCATAAGAATACAACTGATTTATTACACGGTATACTGTATGGGTGAGACTTTTTACAGCTATGCAGGATGTTCATTACCATCCCATCTGACTTTTGCTTTTGTATGACATGGGGATACTGTAGGAAGTTAAAATCTACCCCTCTCCTAGAAAAATGAAAAAACCTGGGAAATATTGAAAAGGCAGAATATCATATTTCCCTGGATAAGAAATGGAGGAACATGTTTTTAGGCAGGAAACAGACTCACTCTTAATAGCCCCCCACCTTTGTCAATGGGCCATTAAAAGGCCTGAGCCAATCTATTCTGCATAACAAAGATCTCCTGCCTTCAGCCCCGGGGTTATGACATTAAGGCATGATAGTATTAGCCCTTTATCCATCTCACCACAGGGCACCTGGGAAGAAGCAATGTTCAACCAAACCTGGACTAAACACAGCCTACCGAGGTGCTCCTGCTTGGCCCCATGGGAGTCTGACAACCAATTAGAATACAAGCTCAGGTCCAAATCCCAGAGAGGGCATAAAACCAGGGACTTTCATCATCTCTGTCTCTCTTTCTTTTTCACCCAACATCTTGAAGCATGAGATCCCCCTTTTCTGTTCAGGAGCTCAAGACANAAATTATAAAGGCAGGATATTAATAAGTAAATGATCTGTTTTCTCCAAAAATGTGTATTTCCTGCATTTGGAATAGCTATTAATAAATCACCTAAATTTATTACTACTGCCTTGCTGACAGATGTCAAGTTAAATATTCACAGTGCTTATTCATTTTTTCCCTTGCAGAGGAATCTTTATTAAGCCACCCTGTGCCATGTGTTTTTTGACTAACTCACATCACTTTGATACATTTAGCCAGGACTGGAACAATAGTTTCAGCCATAGCCTAACTTGACCAAAGCTAAAGATATAATAAATTACATGAAAGTAGTGAGTATGATCAATCTACACCCTTAAGTTTAACACAAAAACATTATTTACTATTCCACCATCTTAGCTGATCCATGCAAATCTGCAGGTCAGATATGAATTCTTTCACTATTCAGCTGTGGAGCAGGCTTGGAATTAAGCTTTGGCCAACTAGAAATATACTAGCTGAAGAATATCTATAGATAGTGAATTTAGGTAGCCTGTTTTTGCTATAACCCATAACAAACTATCTGATTTTACAATCAGATTCTAATATTATAGTAAATACTATTAGTCTACACAAATACTATTAACAGTTAAGAGCCACATGGAATGTCCATTGATTTCACTACTTCAGCAATTAACATTGTCTGCATTCTTGAAAACAGTAAACATTTTCTGGCTCAATGATACACACAGCTAATTTGTTTAACCATTTCCCCTAGGATACCGTATCTAATAAGCTCTTTCCCATTTCAGGTTTCAAATGAGAAATTATTTTTCAGCCTTAGCTTTATTAACTGATGTAATAAGGACAATGTGATTTAAAAGAAATAAACTTTATTATCCATAATGCAAGTAGTTTCTAAGAGCTATACTTTTAGGCAGGCTCTTCATTTAAATTAATATTAATTAAAAATAGGTAGGAAAAATTAGTTCTGTGATTATACCTTAACTTAAAAAAATTGTATACAAAGATGACTGTATTCATCTCAAGTTAAAATGGTTAGTAAGATTCAAACTTTAAAAAGCAGACCATGTTCTTTAAGTATAAAAGGAAACTTAAATATATCACTGAAGGAATATATTATATACAAGTGAAACTTGAAAAATTAGAATATCGTACAAAAGTTCATTTATTTCAGTAATGCAACTTAAAAGGTGAAACTAATATATGAAATAGACTCATTACATGCATAATTGTGATGATTATGGCTTACAGCTCATGAAAACCCCAAATCCACAA